TGATTTCAACATTATCAGATACTCCAAAGAAAAAAACACCATGGATGGGGTACACAGACACACCCCTTTGTTTAATTCTCTGATTCAATTTTATGAGCTGAGAGAACTTATTATATTTGGAGGTTTATTCACATGGTCAAATAATCAAGAAAATCCCATCATGGAAAAGTTAGACAGAATTTTGGTAACCAAGGAATTGGAAGACATTTTCCCACAAGCCAAGGTTTGTAGATTACGTAGAGAGATTTCTGATCATAACCCATTGATTATTTCACTTTGGGGATAATGCTGGTTTACCTTTTATTCAGTTCAAGTTTGATGTAAATTGGCTGAATAATCCTGATTTATTCTCTTTAGTTAGACAGTTGTGGAATAAGCCTTGTAGAGCAAAATCAGCTTTAGACAAAATACAACAAAAATTGAAGCTATTTAAACAATATTTTAAAGGCTGGGGTTTTAACCTTCAAGGTGAATGGAGGAAACAAAGGAAAGCATGGCAAAATGAATTAGCTGAGATAGAGCTTATTGAAGAGAATGGGGGTCTAAATTGTGAGCAGTTCGAGAGGAAAACTTGGTTGTTGTGTGAGAATCTGAAAAGCTTAGAACAAGAAGAGGTATATTGGTATGAGAGAAGTCATGCAAATTGGCTTCTCAAGGGTGATAATAATACATCCTTTTTCCACAAATGTGCAAATGGAAGAAAAAGAAAAAACACCATTGTTTTATTAGAAAATGAGGGTCAGTTAATTGAAGGAGAGGAAAATCTGCTTCAGCATGCCACAAATTATTACTATGATCTTTTTGGCCCACCAGTAGAATATGAAGTCCAGATTGATCCTAGAGTTTGGGAAAACATTTCAAAAGTGTCTGTACTTGATAACAAATGGTTATGTAGGCCTTTTTCAGAAGAGGAGATCAAAACTGCCCTATTCCAGATGGAAAAAAACAAAGCTGTTGGACCTGATAAAATACCAATTGAATTCTATCAAGGGTGCTGAGATACTATGAAATTTGATATTATACAACTGTTTGATGATTTCTTTCATCATAGAGTTGATATTAGCAGGATGAATTATGGAATTATCACATTACTGCCTACGATCAAAGATGCATCAAGAATACAACAATTTAAGCCGATTTGCTTGTTAAATTGTCTATACAAATTGATAACCAAGACTTTGACCCTTAGACTTGAAAAGGTGGCTGATAAGTTGATTCATAATACACAAACTGCTTTTATGAAAAACAGGAACATTTTGTCTGGCATTATGTGTTTGCATGAGATTTTACATGAAACAAAAAGAAAAAGGAAATTTGGATCATTTTAAAGTTAGATTTTGAAAAGGCATATGACATGGTAAATTGGAAACTTCTGTTTGCTTGTTTAGAAAATAGAGGCTTTGATGAGAAGTGGTGTACTTGGATTAATCAAGTGGTAACCGGTGGAACGGTTAGTGTGAAAATGAACAATAAGATTGGGCCATATATCAAAAGTTATAAAGGAGTGAGACAAGGTGACCCTTTATCACCTATTTTGTTTAATTTTGTGGCTGTCTGCTTGACTAGAATGGTTCATCAAGCTCAGGAAAATGGTTTGATCACTGGTCTTATTAGTCACATAATTCCTAAGGGAGTAGCAGTTTTACAATACGCTGATGATACCATCTTGTTTCTAAAACATGATGTGCAAGGAGCAGTACACATGAAGATGTTAGCTGGGCTGAAGATTAATTTCAATAAAAGTGATGTCATTATGGTTAATGATGAGGAGAATTGGGGTCAGGTGTATGCTGACATTTTCAATTGTCAAGTTGGTTTATTTCCAATCAAGTATCTAGGTGTGCCTGTAAGCCCTAGTAGACTGAAAGTTAGTGATTGGCTCCCTCTGAATGAAAAATGTAATAAGAGGTTGGATGTTTGGAAAGGGGGTACAATGTCCATTGCAGGCAGAACCATTTTGATTGGTTCTAGTTTAAATAATTCACCAACATATCACATGTCTGTTTACCTTCTGCCTAAAACCACTATCAACAGACTTGAGAAAATTAGAAGACAGTTTTTTTGGCAAGGAGGTGGGACCAAAAGGAAATATCATTTAGTTAAGTGGGAAATTATTTGTAAGAGTAAGAAGAAAGGAGGTTTGGGAATCAAAGACTTGAGAAAAATGAATATTAGCTTATTATGCAAATGGTGGTGGAAGCTAGAGAAAGAGGAAGACCTATGGCAAGACATTGTTAAATTCAAATATATGCAAAATAAATCAATTCATGAAGTTAGTCATAGGCTTGGTGACTCATCAATGTGGTTTGACCTTCTTAAAGTGAAAAGCATCTATTTACAGGGAAGGGGTGTTACTACAAATAATGGTGAGCTAACTAGGTTTTGGTTTGATCCTTGGTTGCATAATGAACCTCTGTATGTGAAATTTCCCATTCTATTCCAACTGTGTGAAAATAAGGAAATTTCAGTTGCACAAGTTATGAGAGGGGCTTCTATTACTTTCAGAAGATGGTTGTTTGAAGATTTAAGATCTAATTGGATTAAAATTTTATCTGATGTCTTGAACTTTCAGTTTACTGATACACCTGATGTGATTATTTGGTCTTTGGAACAAAGTTGTAAATTTTCTGTCAAATCTCTGTACAATGGGCTCACTAAAAATGAATCTGGTATATATCACAAAAGGATCCGGAAAGGGAGGATTCCGGCTAAGATCAAAAAAATTTTATGGTTAGTTGCTAATGATGCCATTTTGACAAAAGAGAACTTAAGGAGAAGGAATTGGCAGGGTGATCCCAAATGTGTTTTCTGTGATTGCTTTGAAACTGTTGATCATTTGTTTTTTCAATGTTCTGTTGCAAAGGTCATTTGGATGGTAATAGCTTAGTGTTTTGGTGCTTCTAACATCCCCATGAACCTACATCAGTGCTGGCAGTGGTGTGAGCGTTGGTTTCCTTTTGGTAAGAAGTATCACCCTTGGGGTATTGGTGCTATTTGTTGGGCGATCTGGAAATGTAGGAACAAAGCCAGTTTTGATAAGAAACTCATTAAAGATCCATTAGAGATAATTTGCTACGCTTGTGCACTCATGAAGTTTTGGTCAGGTCTGTATGCGGAAATGGATCAGGAGCAGCTGGAGGAAGGTGTCAACACAATGTTACGTGTTGCCAAAAGAGATCCTGGCGCTGCAAACTGCACGACAAGTGAACCAGCTACTTCTTCAGGACGGTGAGGCGTCGGAGCAGGATGAGGCTGGTATTAAAGTCGGTTGATAAGTCGGTTGGAGCTGTTTTGTTGTGAGAGAAAAATACTGTAAATTCTAGCTGATAAGCCGACTGATAAGTTCAAGCGAACAGGCCTACATCTATCTTTTCAGTTTCTCTGGTTTTGGTCCTAGTTAATGGGAACGGTGCGGTGCTATAATGGGAACGGGGAAGGTTCCTTGGTTGGAAAAAAAAATTAGCACATGTTTATTGCAGCACCGCATTGTCAAATTATAGACTAATTAGGTTTAATAAATTCGTCTTGCAAATTAGCTTCCGTCTGTGCAATTAATTTTATAATTAGTCTATATCTAATACTCCTAATTAGTGTCCAAATATCGCCCTGTTCGTTTGAACTTATCAGCCCGGCATATCAGACATGGTACAGTGTTTCTCTCTCACAATAAAACAACATCAGCTGGCTTATCAGTCGCAAAAACTATTAGCCGAACATATCCTAAAGTTTAGGAGAAGTATCAAACACACACTAATTGTGTTCTGTGGAGCATTGATGCTCCTGAGTTTTGCCCTTTTCAACGTCAGGGTGCTTTCTGGAAAAAAAAAGAGTTTGTATAACTTTTTGTTTCCAAAAAAAACTTTTGTATTTATCCAATTTATTAGGTGGGTTCCTAATAAAAAAATGGTAGATAAATTTTGCGTCAGGTTTGTTGCGTTGAAATGTCGGATACGTGTGACGGCACGTATGGGCTTGGAAAAGACATCCACTTTTCTGTTAAGTGAATGATGTATGGTTAGGAGTTTACACATTCCATGAGTGAGAAGTCCATTAGTTGCATGTCCCGGTGGACAAGGACATTTCAATATAGTATTGTATACTTAGTTGCCTGTCGTTAGCATCCAAAGGACGCTGATGACTCTTACGTTGGAAATGCAGATTTGGTTTTTGTAGTGCTGCGCAAAACCCCTAGAAAATCCCAACTTTAGGCCCCTTTGGATCCCCAACTTTAGGCGATCAAAGGAATTTTATAGGAATCCATTCCGTTGGAAAGGTTCCTGAAAATGCCGTTTGGAATAGAGGAAATGCGGGAAAGGTTCCTACGTCCATTGATTTCACCGGAACCCAAACACAGGGAAGATCTTAACTTTTAAGGGCCCTTTAGAACGCAGTAATTTCCTAGCCACAATCACATAAATCAATTTATTTTAAAACAGAAAACGTTGGACATAGAAAAAAAATATCTCATTTTAAAAGGGGGCTAAATGGATAGTTTCTGAATATTAGTGTAGGCCCTGGCCGGCACCAGTTATATTCTTCGTTTGTGACAGTCTCCATTGCAGTACCAATACTCAGAGTGGTCACACAGAAGTTGCAAACAGAGAAGCAGTGCAGGAAAACCAAGCAGAGCCCTTCCTTTCAGACCCCTGCTTGGTCAAAATCCTACATTTTCCTTCAGCAAACCTATATAGTACTAAGTGTGTGTGTGTCTATATATATATATATATATATATATATATATATATATATATATATATATGTATATATATATATATATATATATATAGTAACTACTTCCTCCGTTCTAAATTATAGGTCGCTTTGATTTTTTTTTATATTTAATTAAAAAAGTTAAAGCGACTTATAATTTGGAACAGAAGGGAGTAGAGTACTAGATCAAACACCCTGCACCGCCGATCTTAGTCTATCTTACGCCGGCGAGTCACCTTATAGTTGCTCATATGTGCACACCCTTCTTCCCAGGTGGAATTCCCACCCTACTACTCTACCACGATCTCAGGCAGTTTCAGCACGCTGTGGCCGCAACAGCTGCTCCTCGTCGTCGTCACCGCCGTCCTGGGGCACTTCACGTAGCTCCTGCAGCACGGGCTGATCTCCTTGGCACACGCAGCCTGCGAGCTCGAGCAGGTGTCTCCACCTTTGACGCTGCAGAAGTTCTTGCTTGCAGCGCAGTCAGTGGGAGTAGGGACGCCGCTGCAGTCTTTCGCCTTCCCACTGTGCTCCCCCTTGTGTTCTTCGCTGTGGTGGTGGCCTTCATCTTTGGGCAGGGCAGCAATTGAAATCGTGACATCTTCAACTGGCTCGGCTGCGATCTTGTCCTTGTCGTGAGGCTCATGGCAGCAGTGGTGGCTGTGGTCATTGCAGTCCTTTTCTGGCTCCTCAATCTCCCCATGCTGTTCATGCTCATGGTCATGGTCATGGCAGTGGTGTATTTCTGCAGCGTGCACAGGTTGCTGCTCAGCATGACACTGATGCTCGCAAGCATGCTCAACAGCAGAGTGTGAATGGCTGTGCTCCTCGCAGTGACTGTGTTCATGTTCATGGCAGCCATGCTCACCTGTAGCGTGTGAGCGGTTGTGTCCTTCGCCGTGCCTATGTTCATGTCCATGGTCATGGCCATGGCCATGGCAAGCACCCTCACTGTCAGCACGCGGAGTCTTGGGTTCTTTGAAGTGGCTGTGCTCATGGTCATGGCAATCCTGCTTGCTGGTGACGTGCGGGCTGCTCAGTTCTTTGCAGTGGTCATGGCTATGGCCATGGTCACGGCTATGGCCATGGTCATGGTCATGGCAACCATGGCTCTCCACAAGCAGCAGCTGGTTGCCTGCCTCTTTGCAGTGGTTATGGGTGTTCCCATGGTCATGGCAAACATGCTTTTCCGTAACCACATGGCTGCTGGGCTCTTTGCAGTGGTTATGGCTGTGGCCGTGATCATGACAAGCATGCTTTTCTGTAGGATGCTGATTGCTCGGCTCTTTGCAGTGGGTGTGGGCATGGCCATGATCATGGCAACCGTGCTTACCAGCAGACGACTCTTTGGAACAGCCTGTCGACTTGCACGGACCATCTGAGCAGTGGCGGGAGACACATTGCTTCTTTGAGTGTGACCCATGCTGTGAAGAGGCACAACATTTCTTCGCCTTCCGACCGCCCTTTGATCTCAATAGCAACATGCTGTACATGATCACCAGCATGCATGTGCCAACATCTGCGAGGACGGCTGCCCAGATAAGCGGATGTCCAGAGAGTGCAAGTCCAACGATTGCAAGCTTGGTGATCACCGAGAAGATGATGTTCACGATGATAGTCCGGTGCGTCCTCCGTGCCAGCTGGACAGCCTTTGGTATCCTGCGGATGTCATTCGACATCAGAGTTATGTGGCTCGTCTCCATTGCAACAGCTGAACCAGATACACCCATCGAGACTCCAACGTCAGCCTTGGCCAGTGCTGGGGCATCATTCATGCCATCACCGATCATCAGAGTAGGGCCATGTTTTGCCTTGAGTTCATCAACAATTCTCACTTTGTCCTCTGGGAGAAGTTCAGAGTGAACCTCATCAAGTATGTTCCCAAGCTGCCAGAAGACAGAAACAGCAATATTATAAGTTGCCATATTGTATAGAAATGATAAAAGTGCACAGTACCAACAGTACCATGTCTTTTTCTTTACCTGGTTCTGTGCATATGAAGCTGCTGCAGCGCTATCCCCAGTAAGCATCACTGACTTGATGCCCAGTGACCTCAGCTCCCTGATGGCCTCAGCTGATCCAGTTCGGCAGTAATCCGAGAGAGTAAATACTCCGATCAATTGCCCTTTGCAGGCAACATAACCGATGGTAACTCCTTTCATATCTTTCATGTCACGAACTAGAGCAAAGAAAGGGCCATGGAGTTATTCAAAGGTTAAATGTGGAAGTGGCAGTATTTACTGCAAAAAAAAGTTCAATAGAAACTGTGCTTTGTTTATTACACAATAAAAACACAAAAATCCTTCTTTTTAGTTAAATAACTAATGCAACCATGTTCCAGTCAGACAACAATATGGGTGAAGAACAAATACAGACGTTTTTCGAATTGATAATTGTTAATTAATATCCCTGAAACATAAAACTTGCTATGTGCTGTGGAACAGTGGAAGTGACTTCATGAGTGGTACATTGGTATCACTACTTCACTATGTCTGTGCCACTAGATAACTAGCAACATATTTTTTGGAAATACCGAGTTCATGTGTTAACCAACCTGTTTCACATGAGGCCCTTGACAAGATTCTTTTATTTCCAATATAGACACCTTCCCCATCGATTTCACCATAAACCCCCTCGCCGGGGTAGATTTGGAACTCAGTAACATTATCAGATTTGGGTTCGACTGACTTTGACTGGGCACAGTCAACTAGCACAGATGCCATTGGGTGGCTTGATCTGCTTTCAATGCTTGAAACCCTGCAATAGCCATGGAATTGAGTTTATATACACCCAAAGGAACCTTGTGCAAGGCTCAAATTACAGAGGACACAGCACTCACCAGTAAAGTAGTTGTTGCATGGGGACAAGTTCACCAACTGCCTGGAATTCCTCAACACTGAACTCTCCTCTAGTGATTGTACCTGTTTTATCAAAAGCAGCAATTTTGATCTTTGCCAAGGTTTCAAGGACATCCCCTCCTTTGATAAGGAGCCCTGTCCTCGCAGCCGTCAGAAGAGCACAGAAGGTAGCAACCGGCGTCGACAGCACTAGAGCACATGGGCAAGCACTCACTAGAAGGACCAGGGCCAATTGGAACCAGTGTTTGAGGTTGTGTGCTCTGACCACCACAGGAATCACTGCTACCCCCGCAGCCATGACAACAACAGCTGAAGGTACAATGCAAGATAACAGTAAGGGGAAAACCATCTTGTATAACTTATTTTTTCCCTAGTAACTATTTGCAGTAATAAGCATCTAGAAAGGTAAAACTATAGCAAGAGTAGTCTCTTATATCTGGCTTACCGGGCGTATAGTACTTGGCACATGTATCAATCAGCCTCTGAGTTTTGGACCTACTGTTTTGTGCTTCTTCAACTAGCCGTGCCATTTTAGCCACTGCAGAGTGGTCAGCCATAGCTGTCGTCCTGACAGCAATATAGCCTGCCACAGCACCAATACAGAATCATCACAAGATCAGGAGCTTATTCTAGCCACTTAATACATGTCAGTTCAAGCTGCAACGCAATACTATGTATTACCATCTATGTTGAGCGTGCCGGCCCAGACCTGGGAGTCTGGCTGCTTCGCAACTGGGAAGGACTCCCCAGTCAGGGTACTTTCATCAACCTCGCTCCGTCCATCCACAACCACACCGTCAATTGGGACGACTTCCCCAGCTTTGACAGCTATTACTGTATTCACCTTGACATCCTGAGCTGCGACCACCTCCCCAGTCTCTGCTAGAACAGCCTTCTGCGGTGTCATGCTCATCAGCGATGACATCCCAGCAGTCGCCTACATGTCAAGCAATCATTCAATTAGATCTTTCTGAGAAAAAAAAATGCAAATATTGCCTCTAACACATATTTTACAAATGTATGAGCGTATGTATATGCAACTACTATCTGCTTTTCTTAAAACATGCTGCTTTTGGTTGTTGGTTATAAGGTTTCCTAATCTGCTTTACACATGTATGAGTGTATGTGCATGTTTGAGTCCACTAGATATAAAGTTATTTGTCTTGACTTTGAGAGCTTTCAGGTGGGCATCAACACCATGCTCTCATCAGCATCTTAAAATGGTGGTACAATCCGCAATGTGGACCTGACTCTGGTCCAAGCCATGCCCCAAATGGCAGACCGAAATCTGTTCATCAGTCCATCAGTGGGGAGAGTGCGCATCCACTCAGCGTATTGCATCAGTACGAACATGCGCTCACAAACGTGACTGGCCAAGAAGAATTAGATCCTTCTCTGTGCAGTGGGTTCACGTGTGGCCTCAGAGATCGCATCTATTATTATTTCTTAAATGCAAAATAAACTGCTTGAAAGAGATGGGAAATACCTTGTGGCTCGCCCTGGTCTCAAGCCATTCAGCTGTAGTGAACAGGAAAACAATGAACCCAGCCTCAGAGTAGTCCTTCAGAGCTATAGCCCCAGAAACTGCAAATAGATCAAATAAGACATCAAACTCTACAATTTAGCATTCCATCCATCTACAGAAAAACCAGGCATTCATGCCATGGCAGAACCTAAAAACAAGTGTCATAAATACAATAACAAGGAACAGTTCTATGTGATGGCAAGATAGCATGGACCATCCTAGGTGAGAGGGTAGTGCCAACAAAGAAATATATATGGCGGTGACTATACATACAGACCGCAAGCTGTTGTGGCGATTCCTTTGATACGTGTTGTATGCATATATCGGATAGAGCAATATCAACACCACAAACAAAACCGATCCAGAAAGTTCGATTCAAACGATATGTGGCTTCATCCTAAAGGAATACAATTCCCCTGTTAAGGTCCACATCACATCACCATACTGAAGAAAAGCATGCACACTCTGTTCATGTAGCATATACATTAGCACCACATCACATATCCCTTTAGTGCAGTGGAAAGCCGAGGTCCCTCCAGGACCTTACGAAGAGAAAGAAAAAAGGTTGGGCAAGTGAGACATAAACTTTTTTTGGGTGCCGGATCGGTTCGGCTCTCCCTCCCACTATGGAGCCACCATATTGGTCCAGGAAAAACAACTTGCATGGCCCCTCTTTTTTTGCACAACCCCGTCCCTCACATGGACAGATATGTTAAGTGCAGAATTATTTGCCCCAAAGTGCGGGTATCTGTCGGGGTTTACATACATGAGCAACGGTTGATTAAGATATGATGAAAATGAATTCCTATTTACTAGGCCCAGCACCGTTATGTGATGCAACTGAAGAATAATTCTCGGTGTTAAATGAAGAGCAATTCAAGCAGAGGACACACCATCCCTGTCAACCTGTGGTGAAGCAGAAGGAGGGGAGGGGATTGTTTACCTGCAATCAGCATGAGTATGTTGACATCAAGGGTGAGCCTCCGGGCAGCTGCAAAGCTCCTTAGAACGATCGGCGGCAGGCCGGCAGCCGCCGCCACCAGCGCGAACCATTTCAGGGGAGGCCAGAAGTGCTCGAAGAGCGACACGACCAGGAAAACCCCGCAGAAAAGAACGTACGGACTCGGCCATTTGTTGGCTACCTTCTCCTCGGAGCCACTGCCGTAAGCTCGAACAGACGCCTCCAGCCTCGCCTGGTTCAACGCCTTGACTGAAGGAAAAAGAAAAAAAGCAAGCACAAGATCCGGTCAACCAACGTTCAGAGATGTTCATCGTATGAATGTGACGACTGCGAGAAATGCAGGCGAAATTGGCAAGCACTGTTGTCAAAAAACAAACAAAAAAAACAGAAAAAGAAAATCGGCAACTCCGTATATAGAACATGCAGTTGTTATTAGTGCATCTCAGAGATAAGTGCTAATTTTCTTTTAAAAATATAAATGTAGTAAATGTTAGGCACGATTTATCTAAAATAAATCTAATAAATGTTAGGGACGATTGGGTAAATTCAGAGTGAGATTTCCACACGAGCAGCGCGTGGTGCATGGCGATTTCAACTCTCTGGCCTCGCTTGAGACCGAGAGACTTTTCTTCACGGCGGCCTTGACATCAGTCATCAATCAGGTGGCAATCTGTTGGCACTTACACAAAAATCCCCGTGACAGCAACCACCTATCTGTACGATCCCTGCGAACTCAGGTCTCAGGAGGAGGTTCCTCAGTTCACCACCGACATTTTTTTTTCTTTTTCTTTTCGTACCGGCGATGCAGGGCTCCAAGCCTCCAATTCTAACACTCGTGACGATTGATGACGAAGAAGAAGAACTGGACTGCTCGCAGCCTGGGGTGAAGCCACGTTGATTTTGGGGGTGCACCGGCACCAGGCAAAAAAAAAATATTTAATACTAAGTAGCTTATTTTGACTATAAAATCAGTTGTAAGATGACATATTTCTACACTACTGTTAACGTTGTGCACCACCGTAAATTTAGTAATAGCTTCGCCTGCATGGTAGTACGAACAAAATCGTGCAGGAGCAAAGCAGTAGCGGTCATTGTCCGGTTCGTTCGGGCTCGTTGACTTATAAGTCGTATTATTTTAATTTATGAGTTTGTTTAATTTATAAATCATATTTTTTTTTGTTAATAAATAATATTTTTTTCTCATATCTAATCAGTCAAACGTACTTTCAGCCATAACTTATCAGCGAAAAAAAACGAACAGGACGAACAGGACACATGTTATCATTGCTGCTACGGTCACATCAAACATTGCGTGTTGGGATTGGCGGTGGCGTCCATATTTAATGTCGTCGTAAGTGCAGTTGAGTCGGGTGGGCGGCGGCGGACTCCGGTCGGGAACGGGGACTAGCAAGTAGTAGTAGACCACGTCCGGTCGCGGTCCCGTCTGGTCTCGTCTCCGGCGCGTGGCGACGCGGAACGGCCGGCCATCTCGAGCGGGACGGACGATGGTCGGAAAATAAAAGGGAAGGGCACGCATACCGATTTGTGCGGGCGACGTGGCGGCGGCGTCGTGGAGCACGATGACGGTGCGGGAGGGGACGATGACGGTGACGGTGCTGACGCCGGGCAGCGGGCGCAGCAGCTTCTCGACGAGGGGCACCTCGGAGGGGCAGCAGATCCCCAGCACGTCGAAGTAGCTCTTCTGCAGGGTCCCGGGCGCCGGCGGCGCGGCGTCCCCCATGGCCGCTGTCCCTCCGGCTGCTCTGCTCTGCCTCTCTGTGTGTCAAGTGCGGCCAAACCTGCAGGCGGCACGAGGAGGAGCAGCCGAGTGGTGTGTGTGAGCGGAGGCCATGGGGGCACAAGCAGGCCGCGGCCGGGGTTTTCTTTCGGTGCGCGTGCCGGATTGTATAAAGAAAGAAGAAAGGCCGGCGGCGGCTGCAGCGACTTACCCCGCCTACCCCGCCCAGGCGGCGGCAGGGAGGAACGGACTGATGCGTGCGGCGGTGTTGGTGGCGACTGGCGAGGCGGTTGCGTTGGCCGTTGGCGGAGTGCGCGTCTGAGCGAGCACCCACCCCTGGCACTGGCAGAGCCGCAGAGGGGAAAGGAGGAGTGGGAGGCGGACGCGGGGTGCGGGCGCGTATTTATGGACCTGACACTGGGCCGCGCGCGATCCGTCACTGTGACTGGTGCTCTGGTGCGGTGTGGTGGACTGGTGGGTGCCGACGCGCGAGGCACACAGCACAGCACAGGCGGCACGCCCCGCCCCGCCCCGCCCGGAAAAGCCGCGGGGCCGCCGGGCCGGGGGCGGTTGCCGGGCGCGCGCGACGGGTGTGAGACGTGTGAGACCGACGACGGGATGGTTGCGGGCGCATGCAGCCCGGGTTGCGGATGGAGACGGCACACGGCAGCGGCCAGCGGAGAGGAAGGCCGGCCGGGAGACGGGTGCGTGCGTGCGTGCGTCAATAACCCTGTTCGCTGGTACGAACTTTGACTGAAACTGGCTGAAAAACATTGTTTCGGCTGAAAAAATAAGTCGAACAAGCTAAATTTAAGACAAGCGAATGAGACCATTGGCATGGCGGCAAGCGGCAGCCGACGCAGGGATCTATGTGACTATGTGTAATCTTTGGATCTTTTTAGCGGGACTTATTGCTGCTACGGCTAATTTATTATAAGAAAAAAATATTTTTTTATAACTGAAAAGCAGACTAATTCTGGTTTATAAGCTAAAAAAACATAGCCTTCTTCTATTCTATATGAACTGACGACGCGCCATGCCGTGCCGTGGCGTGGCAGTTGCCAAGGCGGACAAAAAAAAGCTGCAGATGGAAAGAAAGATAGAGTAGTCCAGACGGAGATGACTCGTCCATGCATCCGTCGTCGTCGTCGACATCGACATCCATGTTGCGTCGTTGGTGCCGTCACGCTGCTGGCTTCTTTGGGCCTGCTCGCTAGGAGGAATTCTGGAGAAATTTAGATGATTTGAAGGAATGCTGGAGAAATTTATGAGAGAAAAATATGGTTTCGGATAAAAAAAAAGCAGATCAAAACCAAATTTAAAAGCACGCGAACAGGCCTTTCTCTCCGCCGTCGACCATCGTTGTGGCCCCTCCGGTCGTCCGCGCCTTGTTACAAGCGTGAAGTGTGCACGCGCGCGATAGCAGATACACCTACATGCCGCCAGCAGTTACGTACATTCGCATCACATGCACCACGTACACGTTACGTACGTACACGCGCCACCACCCACACTGTACGTACATTACACTCTCATGCTGTCATGCATGCATGGTGGTGGTGAGGGTGGGCTATTCTACACCTTAAATGTAGAATATTCTACACTACAAGACAAAACTGACCTGAAAAAATACTAAATACTACTAAAGCATGTTCAGTATCAGTTAATACTACACCTAGTACCTCGAAAATACTGAAACGCATCTACTGAACAGTACTGAATTTTGTTAAGTATATTCTACACCAAGTTGTTATACTGAACAAAATTCAGTATTGTTCAGTACTTGCGTTTCAGTATTATTTAGTATTTCGGAATACTGGTCTAATACTGACTGATACTAGACGTAGTTCAGTACTACTCAGTATTTTTTTCTAATCAGTTTTGACTTATGGTGTATAATAATATTCTTCGCCTAGGATGTAGAATAACGCTGCCATATATATATATATATATATATATATATATATATATATATATATATATATATATATATATATATATATATATATATATAAGTTCCTTAGTTTCTGAGACAGGTTTTCCACTGTTGCACCATTTATCCACAGTCTTGCCAGCCTAACCGTCCATCTGTCCATCCGACGCACCAGCCGTCCTCGCCCGCTATCCCGTCCCTCCGTCTCGGCTTACCTTCCAGTGAAAACACTTCCGCTCCATCCGCCGCCCCCACATGCCTCCGTCCCTTCCATCTGCTCCCACTCAGAGCCGGCGTCGGCGACGAGAAGCGCGCGGGGTCTGCTGGTGGCGCCGCCGGCGCACGCGTGCGGCACCACGCGGCGCCGTCGACTGGCCCCTCGGTTGGCACCGTTCCCTGTTTGTTTTACCTTCAGGAAAGGATGCAATAGTGAGGCACCAGGACCTTGTCGTGCTGCTGGAATGAGAACAATGACGAGACAGCTAAGCCCTGCAATGATCCAACACATGAACAACGTTTAGGGCCTGTTTAGATTCCAAAAAATTTTACGCAGTACTCGTCACATCGAATCTTACGGCACATGTATGTAGTACTAAATGTAGACGAAAAAAAACTAATTGCACAGTTGGGTGAGAAATCACGAGACGAAACTTTTAAACCTAATTAGTTCATAATTAGACACTAATTACCAAATACAAACGAAATACTACAGTAAACCAAAATCCAAAAAATTTTGGATCTAAACGGGGCCTTAGCCTGAACCAAAGGATCAGGTATGCTGCTGTTATTATATCTTTCATCTGAAAATGTTGTTCCACTGAGTTTGTTCTTGAGGCTGATTAGTGTTCAGGTGACATCATGGGTAACAAGGATAAATGCCCAACCCTTTCCTTGCAACAGAACATATCTATTTGCTTATGGATGCTTCTGATGGACTGTGTCGGATTCATAAACCGGGGGTCCCCAATGGACCCGCTTCCCTGCAATAATTGACCCAGCAGGCGGCGCAGTGACAACACACGTCTGGGCCGGCCCAGATACACAATGACAGGTCGAGACCACGATCCGATCCTCGACCGGCACCTCCGGCCAGGAGATCTGGTCGGAGCCCCGACCGGAAGGCCTGGCCGAGGTGGGACCACAGTCTGACTCCGACCTCGTTCCGCCGACCGAGGATATGCCGGACCTTTGCTCGTCTCTCTTTCCCGACCGACACGGTCGGGACTGATTGGGAATGACCGACCAGGACGCCTACTCGGTGTGAGCACGGGAGCGACGGAACAGAGATAAGGTAAGGCGCTCAAGTCAACCCATAATCTGAGGACCATGCTGTTGTGCACAGAGGAGGGCGCCATCATGCCATGTCATACGGACACTATATAGCCTGACAGACGCGGCAGAGCACAAACAGTATTATGGACACTGTCGTTTGTCGTCCCAGGCGAACATTGTGCAGCCTGCCTGGTCATGAACAGTAAGATGGGCGATGGCGTGCCGTACTCAACGAGATGGGCAACAAGACTAGGTAGCATCCGTACATACTCTCTCCCTTTCCGTTTTTAACTTATACGGCCATCCCCTTCATCTATAAAAGAGGATGCGCTCTCTCCTCCAAAGACGACAACGGCTCAACAGCTCTAGAACTCGATAGCTCAACAACTCTAGAGCTCGACAGCTACACAGTCTATACACTCTCAATAGCTAATAAGCTCGGACACACATAGCATACGCTCCAATACATAATGCATGTTTGAGCATTCGTCACTCTGCCACTCGGTTCAGAGTCCGACTGGGCCTCTAACACCCCATTTTCATTCCTTACTCGTTTGTAACCCCACAGCAAACTTCGAGTACCTGGGCTCAGAAATAAAGTCACCGACCGACTGAAACTGGATATAGTACATGTTGCCTGAACCAATATAAATCTTGTGTCATTACGTGCTAGGCCACATCTGATCACAGCGCATGACAAAATTATAAATATTTACTTGTTGGTCATATTTTACACCGACAGACTGCATGCCGCTTCTGTAATTTATTTATGTTTTTTTTCTCCTCTTTCTATGGTCTGATCAAGCAGATGCCTTGGAAGCTGAAAACAATCAGCTGATCTTGCATACATCTGTCATCATGTGAAGAGGTATAACATGCAAGTGAATGCATACTCACGTGCTGTGTCTCTTTTTTTTTAAGTACCTGACCATGAAATTTAATTTGTAAGTGCACTCTGTGGGTCATTGGAACACAGACACTATCGGAAACAGTGACTTTGTCGTGTGCTTCAGGCACTCGGCAAAGACTAAAAAACACTCGGTAAAATCTTTGCCGAGTGTAACATTCGGCAACAGCACACGACATCTACAGTGTCGGCAAACAGCTATTTGCCAAGTGTTTTTTTATCGCGCACTCGGCAAATGGTTTGTCGAGTGTCAAATTTGACACTCGGCAAAAAAAAGTGGTTTGCCGAATGTTTTTTTTTAAATACACTCGGCAAAGGATTATTGTTTGTCGAGTGTTTTTGAGAATTACACTTGGCAAACCTATTTTCCAAAGACAAATAATAATTTTTTTCTCAGCATACCATTATTGTTTGCCGGGTGTTTTTGGGAATTACACTCGGCAAACCTATTTTCAAAAGAAGAAAAAAATCTCAGCATATTTCAGTCCTCTTCGCCCTCTCACAAGCAGTCCTCAGAGAGCCCTCGGGTTGCCAGTGATATCCTTCTTGTTCTTCCTCTAACTCCTGGACGAAGTGGTTGACCATCCTGTTGTCAAAGTCCTCACCACCCAGATGGGTGTCACCAGCTGTGGCCTTGACCTCAAAGATACCTTCCTCAACGGTGAGGAGGGAGACATCGAAGGTACCACATCCAAGGTCAAAGATGAGGACATTCTTCTCGCCAACACTGGTAGCCTTCTTGTCAAGACCATAGGCAATAGCAGCAGCAGTTGGCTCGTTGATGATACGCAGCACATTGAGGCCAGCAATCACCCCAGCATCCTTTGTGGCCTGCCTCTGTGAGCCGTTGAAGTAGGCAGGGACTGTCACAACAGCATTCTTGATCGTGCTGCCAAGGTAAGCTTCAGCGATCTCACGCATCTTGATGAGAACCATAGCGGAGATCTCTTCAGCTGCAAACTGCTTCTCCTCACCCTTGTGCTGGACAACAATCATTGGCTTCTCACCAGGCCCAGAAATGACCTTGAAGGGCCACAGCTTGATATCGCTCTGGACAGAGGCATCAGAGAACCTCCTGCCGATGAGACGCTTGGCATCTGCATACAAATGCAATCATGTCAGATATGCATTCCAATACCATACAATTTGAAATGTAACAGAAATCATCCATCAGTTAAGTAAAACTTTGATCAATCAAGTGAAATATAATAATCCAGAGACTACCTATAACTAATAAAAAATTCACATCAGTTTTCAGTCAAGATGCCACTAGCAGAAAGGCCAATCAAGTGAACTCCAATAGTAATAATAAGACTGTATTTAGAAAACAAATTACACTAGCTGGCTAGCTAGCTAAGAAAAAAGAAAAGATTATATTCAGAAAACAAATTACACCTAGCTGGCTAACTAGCTAAGAAAAAATAATCATCAGTTTTATCAGTCATGATCATTAGAACAATCAGAACATGTAAATGGACATATAGTAACTGGAAACTCATAAATAAGCAACCAGTGTCGCAAGATCCGCCCCCCCTTGTATTCTGCCATGTTTCGAGACACACAATCACAAAGAATGACTGCAAGTCAGATACCAAATGGCATTGACTACAACAAATTACACTAGAAAACATACTCTGAATGCAATAAAAACTAAAATTATGGTGCAATCTCAGCCGAAAGATGGTGATTTTTATTGCAATAATCACAGTGATTCAGGAAATGAGAATTTTTATCACAGATTGCACATAAAAAATATAACAACCAACAAATAACTATTTAGGCTTTAGAGAACTACTGCTGACTTACAAGATACTATAAAACTGGCAAAAGTTTACAGTAAAAATGAAATGTTAAAGAGAGATCAGATGGTAGTGCATGATGTGATCATCACAATGAATGCAGATATCTCCTATGTTATGATATCATCACTTCTCCCATTAAAATTCATCTTATACAACTCTAATAAACCTCAACCACAGACATGATCAAGCAACAAATAGCAGTACAACATTTTTAAAAGATTGTAATGATGCTTGATGTGCAGTTGCCAACTACCAACCATAAAAGCTAGAGTACAATATTAAACTAGGGGGCCAATATTTTCTAGTAAAAGCAATAGATTAAAGCAATGAGAGATCAGATGGTGATGCATGATGTTGTCATCATAAAGAATGCAGATATCTCGTGTGGATATAATCTCATCACTTCTCCCATTACTTAAACCAAAAGGAAACTAAACAACAGATCCAAATGCCATCTTCTAGTCAAGTTTTCCATCTTGACATGACTGGAAGAAAAAAAATAGCACAAATTAAAAAAAAAACCGAACTCTTGATCTGCAGTTTCAGATTGAAAACCACAAAAGCTATTGTAACATAGCTTTCCATCACTGGTATCAGTGGAATAAAGCGCTTGGGGTAATTGTTTCATCATCAATCTGCCAGCTCAGGAGTTGACAAATAGTACTCCAGAACCATCCAATCAGAATTTCAGTATTGAGTAGGTGCCAAAAATTAACCGATCTAACGCTAACAACAGTCCAAAAACACACTGCATGGATCTACCAAAAAAACATGTATAAATTTCAGTACTGACTCGGCAGACATGGGAAGCTCGGCGTAGGGCGGCGGCGGTACCTGACGGACGGGCACCGCGTCTTGCCTCTCCTCGCTCGCTGGCGGCAACCACGCCGAGGCCAACACGGTGCCCTTCCGTGTGGAGGAGGGAGGCGCCGACGGCCGGATCTGGAGGAGGGACACCGACACCATGCCCGCACCACCAGCACCGCCGCTGCCGCCACCATCCACGCCCGCCGCCCGGATCTCGCCCGGTGGGGAGGCGGCACTGGAAGCGGGGAGGGAGGGGCTGCGCGGGGAAGAATGTAGGGGAGGGGAGCCGGGGAAGAAGGGAGGCGGGATCCGGACGGGGAAGAAGGAAGGAGGAGGGAGGGAGGGGCGGATCCGGCGGGAAGAAGAAGGGAGGAGGGAGGGAGGGGCGGCCGTCGGTGGAAGAGGGAGGAGGGAGGGGCGGGCGGAGGAGGGGATCTGTCTGGCGGAGGAGGGGCCAGCGTTAGAGGGAGGGGGGGGGGGGAGGAGGGAGGGAGGAGGGGGGGGGCTGGGGAGGGAGGGTGGGTGCGGGAGGAGGGGTGTGTGCGTGAGGGAGGGAGGAGGCGGGTGGGGGTTTTTTCTATATTTTTTTTGCTTTGCCAAGTGTTGTTTTTGGACACTCGGCAAACCTCCCTTTTTATCGAGTGTTTTTTTTGTGACACTCGGTAAACCCCCTATTTGCCTTGTGTTTTTTGTTTGACACTAGGCAAACTCTCATCTCTGCCGAGTGTTTTTTTTGCTGAGTGTTTTTAGAATAGCACTCGGCAAAGAATTTGTTTGCCGAGTGCCCGAGTAAATGCACTCGGCAAACATAAAAACACTCGGTAAATTTGAGGTTTCCGGTAGTGACATCAAAAGGGAAGATGTGAAGCCATATCGTGGATGAGCGAAACATCACAGCTGAACCCCACAAAGTATCAGGTATGCCACACCCATTTTACTCCATTACTGAGTACAGGTTCACCTTTGTTTTGTCTGTACAAATTTGTAAATTCCACTATCCTTTTTCCGACTTTGCTCACTATGGTTCACGTGATTTATTATTGGTATAAGTATCTGTCCTTCATAAGCCAGAATGGTATGACATGTATTTATTGGTCTGCTCAGAAGAGTGGGCCGCCGCATTACTAATGTGTTGCAAACATTTAGTTGTTGCAATGAAGTTTCATATTTTACTACTTTGTAAAAGTACTCTGAGTAGAATTATGAAACACCGCTGCCCCAGCAAAATGTCTCCTTTACCTGATTTTTTTTCCACCTTATGAATGTTGCACCTGACTGCCCTTTGGTCCAAATCTACCTTATGTTTCTCCTACACTGAATATTATTTTACATACTCAGATAAGAGGCTACCAGTGATGATTGTTACTAACCATGGGGGTCCAAGAAGATAAACACTCCAATAGTGGACCTAACAACGATGTCTTATGTCACAACTTCTCCAGATCAAGTTTGTGATTGTTTCATGCCCCCTTTTCTTAAACTCAAAGCACATAAGAAAAGGGTGCACTACCGGAAACCGGCTCTTTGCCGAGTGTTTTTATGTTTGCTGAGTGCATTTCCTCGGACACTCGGCAAACAAGCTCTTTACCGAGTGCTGCGAAAAAAACACTCGGCAAAATAATTGTACTCGGTAAACAAACTGTTTGCCGAGTGCTGAAAAAAAAACACTCGGCAAAGAAGTAAGTTTGCCGAGTGTTTTTTTTGGCACTCAGCAAAGAAATAAGTTTTTCAAAGTACATCGGAACAAATTTAGAAAAACACATTATGGAAAAGAAAGAAGAGGGGAAAAAAGATTTGCCGAGTGCCCCCGATCTGGTACTCGACAAACACTGCTTTGCCGAGTGTCATCGAGTATCAGATCTAGGACACTCGGCAAACCTTCTATACTATAACTCACGCACTTCGAAAGCCTGAGATGCGAGGCTGGTCTCCATCTATGCGCCTCTCTGCTGCCCGCCTCCCTCCACCTCCTCTAGTCCATTCCAAGTCCCACACCGCCACCACCACCACCACGCCAGCCAGCCCCACCACTCCATCTGAGTCTTGACTCCAAGCCGTCGCCCTGTTCCTCCTCGGGTTCCAGCACCGCGCCGCCTTGTGGGAGGAGAGGAGGCGGGTCAGTGACGCCTTGATGCACCCAAAGCTGTCGCGGACTGCCCAAAGCTCTTAGGTTTTCCCTCCCTTAGGTTTTTCTCCTCCGGCTGTCCTCCGGGTTCCTAAATCGAAGCTGTGATTTTTGTTCTTTGTGTTTCCATTTTTCTCCTTTTTCATTCTTGAGTTTGGTCTCAATTTCCGGAGTTTGGGTCAATCCCATGCAATGATTTTTGGGGAATAGGTTCGTGCTAGGTTGAATTGCATGTGTGCAAAATTTGGGAGCGTTTCATGGAGTTTTAGTTTGGTTTTCGTCAGATTTTTGGTCGCTCCTTTTTCTTCTGTTCGTTCTTGCTTTTTCTTGTTAGTGTGTTCATGACTGTATCGAGCAAGAGCAGCTGTCTAGCAGCCCAGCGGCAGCACTACCAGCGCTAAGTGCTCAGGCACCAAGCGAGCTCACTTGAGCGGTGCTTGCTGTGGGTGCTCGTGGCTTTGGCCTGCCGCTCCGCTTGCCTTGCTCCCCCTTTTGCGTTTCTGGGCTTGTCTGGGTTCCGCTGAAATCAGCCGCGGTTTGTGAGCTCCGTGATTGGTGTTGATGTCGATAGATGTTTGGGGGTTCGTCTAGGGACATGATGGAATTATGCGCGCTTGGCTGCTCGGTTCGCGACGTTTTCTTCTTCATTGTTTTGACCACGCCAGATGTCGCCGGATCCAGGGGCAGGCTCAATGCCGCCGTTGCTGGAGAAGGAGGCCGAGGCGTTGGAGCCCGGCGTCACCAGAGGCGGGGACGGGGAGCTCCCCGGAGGCGCATCAGCGCCAGATCTCACGGGGGAGGCCATGGCGCCGGTGGTGGCTGCGGTGGCGGGTTCCGTCCTCGGCGTCGTCGTTGGCGGGGAAGGGGGCCGCGAGGAGCTTCCGCATCGAGGGCGGCAGCCCGCGGGCATGGTGGCAGCCACGGCGACATGGTGGTGGTGGCCTGGTGGTGCGGTTTTTTTTATATATTTTTCAAAAATCTTTGTCAAGTGTCGGTGAAAGGATCAAGATGCCCAAGAGGGGGGGTGAATTGGGCTAATTCTAAATTTTCTTGCAATAATCAAATCCTACGGATAGCCCAATTAACCCCTTGTGCCTAGAAAAGTGTTTATGTCAAACTAATGCACAACAACCTCGCAACCTATGTTCCAAACTTACTCTAGCAAGCAATTCTATGGATGTGAAACAAGTATTGAATTGCTCAAAGTAAATAGAGAGAGAAAGGAACGCGGCGATGTTTTGCCGAGGTATCGGAGAGTCGCCACTCCCCACTAGTCCTCGTTGGAGCACCCGCGTAAGGGTGTAGCTCCCCCTTGATCCGCGCAAGGATCAAGTGCTCTCACGGGTTGATTCTTGACACTCCGTCATGGCGAATCACCCAAAACCGCTCACAACTTGAGTTGGGTCACCCACAAGCTCCGCATGGTGATCACCAAGCTCCCAATCACCACCAAGCCGTCTAGGTGATGGCGATCACCAAGAGTAACAAGCCACGAACTCTCACTTGACCACACGAAGCCTAATGAGAAGATGGATGCACACTTGTCTACTCTTGATTCACTAATGAGGTTTCACTCTTTGATTCTCAAATCACAAACACCTCACTAGGATCTTGCTCTTCTTGGCACTCACAAACGTGTTTCTCAACCTGTTGGAATGAGCAAAAGTAACTCCACACACAGTGGAGCTTCTATTTATAAGGCGACTAAAAAAACGAACCGTTATGAGCTTTCGCGGGATGACCGGACGCTCGATCATATTGACCGGACGCTCTGGTCAGTTCAACCAGCATAGCAGTTTTCAAGTGATGACCGGACAGGCGAGGTCCGGTCGACTTAACGAACGCGTCCGGTCGATCTTGAATACTCTCAGTAAACGACCGGACGGCCTTTGAATACTCGTGGTCCGGTCACCTTAACATCGGACGCGTCCGGTCACCACCGACCGGACGTGTCCGGTCACACTTCTCAAGTCTGGACCCTTCTTTGAGTCGACCGGACGCCGGGCCTTGGCGTCCGGTCACCTGACCTTCTCGGCGTCCGGTCACTCAGACTTGTTCTCCACGATCAAATGAATCTGACCGGACCTGCGGCCAGTGCCGGTCGCAAGAGCGAGCGTCGTCGGGTCGATATTTGACCCTCCATTCACTTCCAACTCTCGATCATATGTGAATGAAGTTAGCTCCAAAGGATCTTAGGCATTCATAGGAGCTACCTAGGGCTAGTTTTAACAAGTGTGCACCACACCTAACTCACTAGACTCAACTAGGTCAAGCTACCCGTTCATACCCCCCTTCATAGTACGGCCAAAGAAAAAAACAAAGTCCTAAACTACTTTAAGTGTCTCTCCAACTTCAATTGACACTTAGAACTAGTTATCCTTAACCTTGTCGTCCATCCTTTGAAAACCGAAATGATTTCCATCGTAGGGGCATGACAACCTTAATTGCCCAATCGATCTCCATTACCATGACCTAACTTAATTGCCTCTGCAAAACATACGTTAGTCATAGTAATCTTGTATTGACATTAATCACCGAAATCCACTTAGGGGCCTAGATGCTTTCAATCTCCCCCTTTTTGGTGATTGATGACAATACCTCCTCGAGTATGTTAAAGAGTGAGGTTTTTGAAGGGCTTGGTTCATATAAACTTTTGTCGTTAAGAACAAAAGAGTTAGGCAAGCTTATATGGCCCAAGCCAACACAATGTACTCACAGGATATGAATTAAGCTTGAGTACAAGTAACAAAGCTCATTTGCTTCGAAGTATAAACGTGGAAGCAAAAGCAAATAAGCATAACACAAGTGATATGACATATAGATAATGCAAAGTAGAAATCACACATGTCAAATATCACAAGCACGTAGATAGCACTATCACATATATATAAAGTATGCATGAAAGTAAAACACACGAATGCACAAGTAATAGTGTATCACACAAATAGAACTCCAAATGTATATAATAGGCTAATACTAGATAACTAGCTCCCCTAAATGTAGCTCCCCACGAGACTACATACTAGAACACCCTCTCCCCTTTGGCGTCAAACACCAAAACATAGGGGTTTGACGGCGCGGGCTGCAGCTTGAGACGAGCAGTATTTGAAGAACGAGGGCAAAGCTGGAACCGAGCACCATCATCATCGACCACGAGCTCTGGCCTGCCCGACCCTCTGTGGCGGGGAAGTGTCATTGAAGCAGTCAGGTGCGAGCTGGCCAGTCTTTGCTGTGAAAGTTGCTAGTATGTCTGTCGTAGGATCGGACGAGGCTGACAGACGAGGGGCCTCTGAGTAGTCACAATGACTGGGTCTCATCAGTGAGGCGGACAGCCGAGAATGCATATGAGGCGGAGTAGGCATGTCGGTCAACTCGCTAAAAGATGCTCCAAGACTCACAGAGACCGACGTGTCGAACACGAATAACGAGGAAGGCGCTCTGGGTGAAGCCCGTCTAAAGTGGAGTGAATGTGGGGCTACCACAGGTGAGGCTAACCTTTGGGACACCTATATAGGCGGTGAAGCAAATCGATTTGGAGGTACATCCTCGACTCTGGAGCCTTTGGGGTGTCTTCTTTGAGTCGTCGAAGTGGTGGGAGGTCGTGGCGGTGGAACCCCAATGGTTGTCACTACATCTTGCATGAATCCCATAATTTATTCTTTGCATAAGTGCTTCTTTGGTCTTGAAAGAGCTGCTGCTTTGCTTATTTGGAACTAAATCTGTGACGAGCTGAAATCGTCTTGAAGTTGGCATTTGTCTCTGCCTGTCGTGGATCGATCTCTGCTGCATCCGCTCAAGAATAGCAATGAGAGCGGGGTCTGCTCGCGGGAGCAGTGGAGTGAACTGGAGCTACCGGCCTCTGCATCGTGTCTGCGCGTGGAGGCATCCGAGGTATAAATTTGGTAGTCGTCGTCGAGGCTGTCATTGTACTCGCTCACCTCTGCTTTGTGCCTCTAGCTCCTCCTCGGTGGCTGCAATCCCTCCGATGATGTCATCTTGCTGAGCTGCGGACTCTGGCACGTCGGGACGATGGCTAGGCTGTCTGGGTGCCTGAGGAGTGGTGTGTCACGATCCTCTCTGTGACAGGTTGTAAGCTAGGAACTCTGTGGTGGCACTGTATACTCATCCATCATACAGGGGCTTATCACGCACTACTACTGTGGATAAGAAACGTGATCCAGTGCGCATAAGGAAGCTGCCTGTGACCCTTGAATCCCTCAGCTATAGTGTCCTCCATCTCTAAAAGAAGGAGGTCCCAGATATCAAATACTGTCTGCTGCATCAGGGCATTAAGAAGCCAGAGCTATAAGCGAGTCAGGCCCTCTCTATATCCCAACCTGGGAAGCAGTGTCCTCCTGATAATAGCCTCTAGCACTCTCGCTGTGGGAGTCAAGTCACTGGGGTTCCTCCTTGACCCCTCTCCAAAAGGCTCCTTGAAGCAATGTCGCACTAAATCTGTAGGAGGCACCAAACCTCTCGTGTGAGGACGCTGGGAGGCTCCTGCTGTCCATAACATGAGACCTCATGTATCTTGACAGCTGCTCCTGTAGCCTCAGTATCTCTCTAACCCTATCACTCGTCACTCTGTAGTCTTTGCCTCTGAAAGCAAAGTGAATAAACCTGTGATGTGGATCGATGAAGAGTGAAGCATAGAACTGATGAACCCAAGATGGTACATATATCCCACGTCAGTCCAATCAAATCATGGGTCCCTGGCAAATATGACAAGTATGGCCGAATGCTCTCTCATTGCTTTGCCACAATAGACTCTATCGGCAGACTCTCTCGAGATCTGAACATGGCCCCACCTTGTTGAGATAAGCATTGTAGAAATCCTCCTGCGCAGGTGGGCGTGTAGAAACCCTCACCGCTTGCTCTCTCTCATCCCTCCTGGGAAACCAAACCTCAAACTCAACAAAACGCATTGCTTTGAACACTTTGGCGGTAGTGACCCTCAAGTCGAGGTGAACCACTAGAGGTGGAACTGTGGTCTAGGTGGAGGATGTGATCCCCTCCGGCAGAAATGGCGGCCTCGGTGAGGCTGGTACATGGGTCCGTCCAGGCGGGCAAAGCTGGGTGCCGGCTCTATCTCGTCGGCCTCCACAGGTCTCTTTGAGGCTCTGCTTGTGGGGGCTTCGCTCTTTGTCTTGTGGACCCTCCTCAATGGTAACCCGTCGTCCCGCAAACGCGTGATGGTCCAATTTGGACTACCGTGACAACGCTCAACCTCCTCAAGCGCAACTCTGAATCTTTGGAAACTGGGCGATCTGCAATGACAACTCCGCTGGGCACCACCTCTCTCGGCACGCTCTCGGCCTCTCTGTGTATTCTTTGCTCTCGCCGTCTCTCGTCCGGGTACTTACGCTTCTTGGATGTCACCTGCTTGGTTGACTTGCCCTTCGATCCGGGTGGTCATGGGCGGGGCCTCCGATCATCATCACAGGCCACCACCAACATTCTTAGTGCAGCCATCTGAGCCCGACAAGATGGTGGCCCGGCGGCGATGAGGATCAACAGACAAATGAACCTCTCGAGGCTTGGCCTCGATCCTTACTCATGAGCTTGGCTCGAGATGACCGCCAAGCGCCACAAGAACCTATTAACAGAACCGACTCGGCGATCAGTGAACCGAGAAAAAGATAAGTTTTCAAGCGGGGAACTCGAAGCCGGCTAGGGTTAGGTCAAACAGCCAACGATGAAGGAGGTAGGACTAGGACACGATGAAACTTGATGACCTTGGAAGACCGGAGGCACGCAGGCGCTCGGGGAGACACGGCTGGTGTGGCGAGCCACAGTGGCTAGCGG